CAAAGAAAACAGATGCATTGTTAAAACCACCGTATCTCTCACAGGGTAGGGGACATGAGTGAAAAGGTGCTTTCACTAATGCTCACGAACCTTACTGACTTTGGTGCAAGACAGTGAGCAGGATTTTTTTCCTAGCACCAACAGAAACAGGATTTTTTTCCTAGCACCAACAGAAACCATTGCAAGGGGCTCTCATTCAGTGTTGCTATGTTAGCAGAGGTTCTGTCAAAGAACATGGACATGGCAGAAGCAAAATCACCCCAAGCATCCAGCACAATCCATGTGTCCCTCAAAGGCACTGGCTGTTCTGAACCCTGTGCTTTCTTCTGGCAGGTGATGTTGCACACAGCAGATGCCAGGTAGTGGGGTGGCAACTGCAGGTGCTCATCCTGACAGTCCCCACACACACACACCCCTCTAGGAGTGTCAAAAGTAGGCAGCTGTGTTGCCTACCAGGAGCAGGCCTTCCGTAAAGCTCAAGACTGAGCCCCCAAAATACTCGGCATTATCACAGAGTTCATTTTATTATTTTTGTACCACCTGTTAGTCTAGATGACTATCTGGGCAGTTAGCTCACAACAGTACCTTGCTGCAGGAAAATTCTAATTTTTGGTTCCACTATGTCACGGCACCTGTGGGAAATCACGCACGCCAGCTGAGTATGGAGAAAGCAAATATTTCTCTAATAAGGGGTCCTTTTCCCATCACCATCTCCAACAGAAATTGCCATGTTAGATGAGATAACTTGCCTGGGAGGAGCAATATGGAAGCCATCGCAATCTGGCATATCAGAGCATAACAGCCCTTGCAAAGATCCCCCTCAAGCAATGCCAGACCTGTCACCTTCCAGGGCTCCCTGTGAACTAAGAGCTTAAAGCCCTTCTCACACAGAGAAACGATTCACAAGTGAGCAGCTTGCTTGTACATTTTCTGCTGCTGCTGCTCCACACAGATTCATACAGCACCTTTGCAGACAACACGGGGGGAAACTTGCCAGGGTAAAAAGGAACTGGGAGGGAAAGGTGAGAGCATGGTTGTGTACCATACTTCCCTCTGCTGCACAACCAAGAGGGAAAATTGATAGGTCTGCATCGAAAGCCAAGCATGTAACTATCACTACAAATGGATTTGATCTCTTGAGAAACTGCATCCAGTAAAGGAGGTGCTTTTTGTAAGGATTTGTTTTGACAGCATGAGTTAACAGAGATAAATACATGACAATCTAATTGATCTAACATCACTTTGGGTTGGACTATAATTAGTAGGCATAGTATTACGGGGAAATCAAATGTGTTCTGGCAGCAATTTTTCTGTAACCTTGAGGTTCAAGTTTCTTTGGTAAATATTAAGATTTCATTTGCTGGGAACTGCCTATCACTGGTTATTTTCACTCAAGTGAGAAAGAGAAGCAAAAGAAAAGCTAAAACTTTAAAAATCAACATAAAATGCTGCAGAGAGTTGTGTGTCTCTTGGGTTTCCAAACTCCGACCTTCTCATAGGTCCCTTTCCAATATCACAATTTAGGATGCTAATTTTCCATTCATTTTTAGGCCCAACTAACTAGCTGTCAAGTAGTTTGCAGCTGTCTGATAAGCAAGTTTTGCTTGCTTAATGGTGGCAAGATTACAATGCATACATGCAGAATTGTAAGTGGCAACGTTTTTGCTCTGCTTTCCTGCCTCTTTCTCTCCCTCCCTCTCTCTCTGTCTTCAACAAGTTAAACAGCGCAAGATAGACTTTGACTGAATTAAGTCCAGCAAATTAGGCTGGGTTGTTTTCATTTGAACTTACTATGTTGGTTTTTATAGCATATAACTTAATATTCTGACTTCTAATTTTAAACTTCCAGGAAGAGAAAAAATACCTCGCTTCTTAGCTATTAAAAATTAATTGGCTTCTCTGCATTGATTGGTTCAATCCATTTAAACATTTAAAGGCACATTTCTGCCAGAACATTTGTTACAGTTTAGTTAGAGCCATAGATTAAAGGTGTCATTTACTACCCAAGGATTTTGTGCTACCCAAAATTTCACAGCATCTCTTCATGTACACCCTGAAATAAAACAATGGGGTAAAATTCAGACTCCTTTCAGTGCTAAGGAAGTTTTTCAAGCATTCTTTTCTTTTTCTTTTCATTAAAGCTTCAAACAAATATGGTTAAATGAAAAGATCTGCACGCATTTTTTTATCTGAACTCTATCACAGAATTGCTGTTCAGATCAGATCAGGCTTGAATTAGGGTCAAAGTTTTAGTTCAGTGGCCTCTTCACAATCATAATGATGACTCTTTGGACTGACTGGGGCCTGGTTCCATAATTCCCTTACAAAAAAGGGCTATTTCACTTCACCAGTGACCTTCCAGAAGTTGGTAAAGAGTGCAGAGTTTCAGAAGGCATTCATTAATCTTATAGACACATAACAAAAATTGCATCTGAAAACAATCAGGAAAGTTGGACTGTTTGTTGTTCATGGTGTGCAAAGTTCAAAGTGGATTGTTGAGAGGGAAACAAAAGTGGCCAGAAATGAGGCCGCATGCTCACTCTTGCACAACCCTGGATAGTTGTAAGTTGTTTAGCCCACAATTGGTAATAACATCCAAACCAAGTCTGTTATCCTATTTTATTTTAAAGCCCAAACGAAAGTGTCAGCTCCTTTGCCTTAAAATGGATGCATGCCTTAAATTGTTGCTATCGTCCAACTTATGACAACCCTCTGAATGACAACCCTTCAAAAAGTTCTATCCATGACATCCCTGCTTAGCTGTTCTAAACTCAAGGATGTGGCTTCCCTTATGAGTTCGATTCATTTCATACTTTGACTTCCTTTCTTCTGCTGCTTTCAACTTTCCCTAGCATGATTGTCTTCTCCAATGAGTCTTGTCTTAAATTAGCCAGGTTTTCAGCTTGGTTTGGTTTCCTAGGCCAGAAAATACTGATTGACACCAAACCAGAGACTGTATCTGTTGATCATCAACTATGGGATCAGGTTTTCTTGATTTGTATTTTTTAAGGAACAGTATGAATTATAATCTATCCTGCTAATCATACAAATGCAGTTGCTGGACAGTAAAGAGAAACTCCACAAATATAGATCGAGAAGTCAACAAAATCCACTGGAACAGCCTAACGTATTAATGGTTCAGAATCAATCAGCAAACTAAACACTATGTCACATGTATTGAAGGGTCCAGCTTATATTTTAAAAATAATGATTTTTTATAGTGCATGAAGGTGTACCACTTTATAGGCATTTCCCTTTCACTGTTCACAATGGAGGAAATCACTCTAAGATGCTCATGAGGCCATCCATGGCAACTGGTCAGAAAAAAATGCATACTACATCCAGTATCAGAGGGAGAATGCTTCTTATACCAGTGGCTGGGGGACAAGAACAGAAGGCCACAACTCTACTCATGTTCTGCTTGTGGACTTCTCAAGAGCATCTGGTTTACTAGTGTGGAAACAAAATGATGAACCAAATAGGACTTTGGCTTGATCCACTACTATTATGTTCGTTAAAATCAGGTGATTTAAAGAAATGTGTTGCCCACATAACTAATAGAACCTGCTTTGTAAATTAATCTACATGATCGTGAGCAGTTTTGAACTTCCAATGGCATTTTCCCCCTTCACCACTTTCTTCCCCAGAGATCATGAATGCAATCTTGACATTATGTTTTCACAGTCCCCATTTTGACTGCCATAGACAGGACCTTCAAATTGCCCAAGAAGAACCTTGGAGAGGCTGCCAGTGATGGGCAAACCATTCTTTCTCCATTTTTTCCTGCATAAATGATGTGCAAATGTGTTCATTCATTAATTTAAAAAATAGTCATATTTGCATAACCGGAGGGTCCATGGTTCCACTACTGTGGAATCTGAAGCCTCACAACCTACAGGCACCCGCTGCCAAAATACAACAACCCTGCACATGGACCCAAGGAAGTCCAAACAGGCTTTTTTCCCCTTCTGCTTTCTCTTGACAGCTGTGAAAAGAAAAGCTCTCCAAGGTGATTTTGGCTCAGGAAAAGAAGGTGGTAAAATTAATATCCCCTTTGCACTGAGATCCTCCTTTTTCCCCCTCCCAGTGCTCAGGGTGATGCACATTTTCCACTTTCCCCCAGGAGTCTCACTGCTTGGGAAAGTACGAAGGTGTATGCCAGCCTCTTTTTCTTGAAAAAAGCACATCTGGCACATTTAGCACTCAGAATTCTGGGTACCTTTTAAAAGGGATTTCTGACAGGGTAATGGCTTGTTTGACTTTTAACTGGGACATGTACTGCCAGAAGTCTCAGTCAAAACCCATCCTGGTAGCTGTCAAAACTCCTTTTCCCAAGAAAAATAGAATCCATTTTTGAACAAGAGAACTACAGAAATAAATAAATAAAACACCCATATTCACATGTTGTTGTACTTTGGCTGTTGGGTGGTACAAAAATTGTGTGTGTGTGTGTGTGTGTGCACTTGCGTGTGTGCACACGTGCACACTCAAATGTATTCAACATTTTTAAAGATGATTTAAATTGCTATGAACTGCCCAATAACTTTTGGGCAGTTTAGAAATGTAATAAAAATAAATTAATTTGCCTACTGACAGCCCTTCAGGCAGTCCTTTTGCCATCTCTTAAAAAGCAGGGGAGAGGGAAAAAAGCTGCAATGAGCCCAAAGCCACATGTCCTCATAGCAGGGAAGGGCAGGCAAGGCAGTCCTACTGCAGGGTCCCTTCATGGCAGAACTGAGAGAGGGGCAGAGGGAAATAACCCATGGTAAACTAAATCATCTGTTGAGCATACCACAGATTGTCTCCAGAACAACAGGCCCGATGGAACTCACTGCTGTGCTTGGTCGTTGCTATGTGTGAACACGCCCAGTGTCTGTGCCTTTGTGTGGTATTGTTTGACAAGAATCTATATATTTCATGAAAACTAATTTTCATTCAATATAAGGGAGGGGATGAGGTTTAGATTTAATTGGTTCAACAGTCTGGTATATTCAACTTACTTTTTCATTCCATGCCCATAATCCAATTCCAAGAAATGCTATGCCGAGGAACTGAAAGAGAGGAAAAGAAGTGAAGGTAAGAAAGGCAAACATTCCAAGGGGTAGATTTTTAAAAATATTGTTACTTTGTTCTCATCACTAGTCTGACTCTTAGTATAATATCAAAGGCTTATGGAAATGATGCTTGAATTGCTATATATATTACATATCCTACATGGTATGTAATTGAATAATAATACATGTATCACACAGCCAAATGTGGGCTTTCTGTGGAGGGATAAGCAAGGAACACACCAACCACACATACAAGATACAGAAAGGTATCAAAAAGGAGACTGTGGATAGTCTGGACTTGCATTAAAGCTCTTCTTCAGCCTTGAAGCTCGCTGAGCAGCTATGGACAAACTACTCTCAGCCTAAAACAGGATTGTTGCAAGGACAGGTAAGGCTAAGTCTTTGTGAAAACACTGCTAACACTGGAAAAAGAATTCCAGAAAGCGTCATGGCACAAGTGTTGCCCAAGCCTAGTGCCCTAGCGATCCAACTCTACCATAAGTTGCAGAGCCACGGACCATGTGCAGTCCTCAACTCTGGAGAGCATCAGGAAGTTGCTAGAAAGTAAAAGTTTAGAGACAAACAGTGTCAATTCAGAAGCCAGCCCCTTTAATTTCAATGGCATTTTCTCCCATGAACATGAGTAGGACGGCCATCCCTAGCTGGCTGAAATATTCATGCATGGAATTAAGAGGATGAAGCTGTCAGAGGTTATTAGAAATGATCATGAAACATCCCTTGGAGGTACTCTGCAGGGAGATGGCTGTTGCCTTGCTTTGCCTTTTATTTATCTAACTATTTTATCCTACTTTTTCCACCAAAAAGGTCCCTTTGGGGAGCTGACTAAGAGCATCTGGCTTACTTAACAAAACTGCTTACTTGGCCGGCCACTGCTGGACAGAATGCTGGAACAGATGGACCCTTGGTCTGATTCAGCCCCTCTTAAGTGCCTAACTTTGAAAATTGAGTGACAGGAAATAATTTTAGAAGGCAACAATCTATTCAGAATTCCCAGGGCTTGCCTCATCTCCAAACCATGACTCATAAATTGGGCTGCTTTTTAAGAAAATGTTAAAAGCGCGAGCTTGAAAGTGAAGATCTGGGAACCAGGAAATTGCACACCCAGTGATATGGCACTGAAGACATTTAAAGGGCTTTGGGCAGCAAAAGCTAAGATGAGGATTGTGCCACTGCTGTAGCTCCATTCAAATGGAAAACAGGGCAACAGTGGAAATTGTTCTTTGATCACTGAAAAGCTGACCAACAACAAAGCCAATGAGAGACATTGTCAACAATACCAGCTAGACGACCAGTTGGCTGCCTCAAGATAAGGCAGCTTCCTGTGTTCTTTGAGAGAGTAGGCCGATTTCTTCATTTTATGGCAACGCTTTGTTTAGTTCCAGATTGCCAGATCTTCCCACCTACTCCCATAAGATACTCCACAACCCCATTCCTAGGCATCCATTGAATTCATAACAACATTGTCTCATCAGCACAAACATTTTTGTAATTGTGTCACATTCTTTGAGAGAAACTTAACCCAAAGCTGAATCACAACGAGGTCCTTCATAGACATATTTTGTGCAACAAAGGGAAAAGCACCCTCTTCTGTGTCACTCTCCTCAAACAAGCTGGCCCAGGTAGGTTCCTGAAATGTTGCCAAATCACAGGGTTATGAACTTCTCTAGGAGCCGTGCCAAAGGCTCTTGTTTCTCCACTGCACTTAAGCCGTGTCTTCAAATTCTGAGGTAATGTTTAGCATATATTTCACTTTAGTTACTATATCCATTAACAAACTACATTTCCACCAAGTCAACACTGAGTGCATTGTTTCGGAGTTTAGCAATGGCCAAACAGGCATGAAAAGGAATACGTACAGATGCAAATTTCACTAGTGAGAAAACAGAAGTAGCTTTTAAAAACTGAGCCACTGACACCCTTTCAGCTCTCCTTTTTTGACTATTCATACCTACACTCTCCACAGTGTGAAAAGCAGAAGAGTTGCAGATCTAGAGGTAATATGAGTGAAATACTCACAAACCTCTAAGCTAACCTCTGGGACACTGTTAGCTGAGCTGCCACAAGCGTAACTCCAGGAAGCACAGATGTTCTGTCTATCAACAAAGACCCCAAGAAGCAAAGCAGGTGTGGAAAACCAGTCAAGAGGTATGACCCTCCAGGCCAGAATCACAAAGCATTTCTCAAGCCTGGTTACTACAAGACAGCTCTATACAGCTAAGCCCAAGAAGATCAAAGCAGGAAAAAACAGCTAAATCTTATTTGCCCAGTAATGATTTTTCCTTTCCACTGCAAAAGGTATAATATTTTGGTTGAACAATAACCCTGGTTCCAACTTTATGCAGCCAACTGCCAAACTAGTTTAAAATCAAAATTAAAGGCTTACAGTTATCAAACTCTGGTGTGTGTGTGTGTGTGTGTGTGTACTGACTACTGGGAACATCTTGCAAGGTCTGGACAATCATCTTCTTTGGGTGCATTTCCTGGCTTACTGTGACTTCAGTTTGGCTACTGCATGGTTTACAGAGGGCAAAGGAGACACAGGGCGGAGGAGGCAGACGGGAAAGGTCCTCCTGCAGAGTCCCTTGGATACTCACAGGAGGACCAGAGGAGTAGGAAAGGGGGACAACCTGCCATGAACCTGATCATATGCTGGCCACACCCATGGATTTGGGGAACAAACATTTCAAGTTTCCCAGAAAAGGGACGTGGCACAGGCATAGATCAGAGGATTATGATTTAGTCTGCTTAGTGTCTAAATTACTTCATTCTGAGTATGTCACCAAGGCACAATGTGAAATAAAAATCTGCATTAAAAGGAGCCAAGAAAATGCTCAGTATAGTTCTAATTACTAGACATTTTCTAAGATGATGAATGTTGCCTCATTACATTTTATTAAATCCTTGTGGTGATGTTGCCTTTGTGCAAATATAATATGGATGGAAGTTGCTCAGTGAATGTGGTAAGAACATACTTGATTGTAATTCACACAAAAACTTTATTTTCTTCTATGACTCAATTAGAAAAGAACTTTGCACTAAAAGATATGCCAAAAAATCCAAATCAGCTAAGTTTTTAAAGACACTTACAGAGCCATCCTATGACCCACAGGCAATATGTAGAAGGCCATAGGATTCTTTCAGAATCACCCCAGCTTTGAAGCTGAAAAGAGCTCTGATCTCAGGGCTAGCGTTCCACATTTAGGTCACCCTCCTCGTTCTCCTCCTTAGAGAAACCAGGCTTGAAAATGCTACACGATTCTGGCATGGATGATCACAGCTCTTGGCTGGTTCTCCACACCTACTTTGCTTCTTTGATTCTGTGTAACAGGGAATATCCATATGCGATGTTTCTTTCTGGAGACATGCTTGCGGCAACTCATCTAGCAGTGTCCCAGTACCGAAAAAACTGTTCCAGATTAATTCTCCAAGGTCATAGGTGTGACTTCAGAGAATGGATTTAGGAGGTGGAAACAGCCAAAGGGCAACCTCAGGGAAGAGCTTCAGAGGCAATGTGTCCTGGCAGAGCCTCAGTCCATTCTTCTGAGGCACTGCAGTTAGATGGCAGATTGCAGAGCAGAACTTCTGCAATCCTTCAAGTTTGGAAGGTTATGGACAGCTCCACTGAATTGCACTCTCATGTGAACCGGACATTTTATTTACCATCAAAATAGTTAAAACAAATGCTATTCTTTTAAAAACAAATCCACACATTCCAAAAGATATGGGAAAAGTTTAAAATGCAATGAACATAAAAGGCAATCTAAAAAACACAATTACTTAGAACTAAAAATTTCAGAAGTGTTGAGTTGTGCATGTTTTACCTTTTAGATTTGGGCCTGCCTTCAGTTTAGTACATTTCCTTCAAAGGATCACAAAGAGCAATTGCTTTAAAAATTTAAAAGATTTTTTTGATTGAGATCAAGAAGTCCTTCCCTCTTTTCTTTTTTTGCATCTACAGCCATGCAAATTTTAAAAAGAACTGAATTGCAACTACAATATAAATTACATCACATTAAATGGTATACATGTATCAAGCAACTACTAAGTGCAATGTGAATACATGTGCGAGATCATGTGGGTGAGGCACAGGTGGGTCTCATCTGCCAGCCTTTTCCTGTCAGTTGCGTTACCAAAGTGTGTGCTGCATCCATTTTGTTCAGATTCCATTTCGGAGAGAAAAGTATCTGGCTCTTCCATAGCATGCCCTTTAAGACCACTTACAACCAGCATCAGCACCAACACCTCCTACTGAAACAGCACAGACAATCGAAATATGTCTCTGCAGCATATTCTGTAGAACACACTGGAGAATAAAAAGCAGTTCAGATGACAATTGTGGGGGGGGGGGGCAGCATACGTTACGTTAAAGATAAAGCAGTTGTGTCCTGTGTCCCTTTCTTGGTCTAGTGTAAGTGCAAAGCATCTAATCCAGATCAAGTCCCTGCATAGGCTGTGGGGGTTTTACTCCTTTCCTACCCTGCTGCATTGCTGATCTGGATTGTGTCAAATATGGGATCAAATAAGAACTGGGGTGAGCAATTTGTGGCCCTCTGAATGTTTGGCTTACCATTCCATCAGTCGTAGTCAGCCAGTGAAGCATGATAGGAACTGAAAGCCAATACATGTTTTTAAGCCACAGACTGCCCGCTCCTGCCTTAAGTCCTGGGAGATGATGGTGGAAGATGGCCCTTTCCCAGGCTTCACATGCTGTCCCTGTTGAAACAGGGTATAGCTAACTACTAAGGGGACCACTACATTCATGTGGTGAAAGTTTCCGCCATAATGTCTACAAGATGCAGAAGTGGCTACTCTTTCTCCAGAGCCAGCTCAAGAGTCCTTTTCAAGATGTCTAACCACAGAGAATGACCATGGGAAACCAAGCTGTTAAGGGCATCTGTTAAGTTCATAGAGATCAAACAAATATGTACAATTGTACTTATGAAGCATCCCTCTAGCTAACCTGCAGTCCAATCTTT